GGGGGAGACGGAAAGATTAGGACTGAATTTAGACTTGCACCTTCATACCACAACAGAATAGTGGGACATTTCTAATAAACCATCAGAAGTATCAAGTTATTTGTTGCTATGGTGAAATTAGAAACAATATTTTCAAGGAGAAAAACTTAGCGAGGGAGCTCACACATTTTATAAAACATAGACTAGGTTTGTTGGGATGCATGGTTGCCTTGCTCCTATGGCCTAAGCAGAAATAGAAGAAAAGCGTACAGAAATACTCCTGTCCAAAGCTTGCTGAAAGCCTCCTCCCAATTAACAGTCATGGTTTTTTAGATCAATCTTTAAGCATAGAGAAAAACGGAAACTACAGCATTTTATTTCTTCGTCTCTTCCAAAACTGCACTTGCAAGTAAGCTTTCTAGCCTAAATTGTGCTTTCATTCACACCTCTGTCTCTTCAGTATACAGATCTGTAAATAAGAACTCTCTGACTCTCTAAACGTTTCTCCGGTCTCCGCATAGATCTATACTCGGCAATTTATGGTATACTATCAATCAACAACAGCAGGCCACCAAGGTGGCAGCCTGAGACTTCTGCCACTGATGTTTATGTATTTAAAAAGCAAAATAAAAAAAGTCTGCCAGTACTTACGAGTTGTGCGTAGCTAGTTGGAAGGTGCTGGGTGTTGTGCTTGTGTTAGTTTTTATCTCCATCTTTCACCTAATCCACATCCCCCTTGTTTGTCACATATCCCTTGCCTCTCACACCTGAATTAAGACTGTTATTTCTCTGAGGAAAAAAACCCAATTCTTTCCTGCCACTGCCTCCCCCCCTCAAAAAAAAAAAAAGGTCTCTGGTTATAAGGAATAAATTTGGGGTGTTAGTCAAGGGGCAGTTATCTTGTCTTTTGACATAAACGCAGGATTAAGTTTTCTTCATCTAATCAAAACCATCCATGTTCTATTAAGATAACAAGCGTAGACCGCTGAACAAACAATGTGTTACCTCATTTCCCCAGACAAATATAGGTAACAATTTAAGGACCCACTTGCTTTAGACAAAAAGCCATGAAGAACTGTGAATCGCATCCTGTATTTCACATCCAATCACAATGTAACCTGCCCTTTTTGGATACAGAACACAGTAATTTTTAAAAAATGCACAGGAAAATGTCTATTCTAAAAACATAAATGTCATACTTGGGAGACAGCAAGAGTTTACTGTCACCATTTGCAGAGTCATGAACATCTTTCTTCCCAAACATTCCAAGTGTCGGGGTACTTATCCTGCCTTTATAGAATGTTTGCTAAAAATGTGGTCTTTGCTTTCCAAATACAAATAATTCTTTTGGCAGCAAACAAGTGCATTATAGACCTTAACCCAGAAACACCAGTCCCTTAAAATAAAGTTTTCACTGTAAATCTGGACTACAGACTCCTCTTTATGCTGATCTAGTCTCTGCTATAATATAAATAATAAAAATTAAATATATTGAATGGTATTTCCACATCCCTTGTGCTTTTTCCGTAAGTTAGACACATTTTATCTCCTGTTAAAAAGAGAAAAATACAATGCTTCTGCATGGCATTCCATAGAGCTGCAAGGACACATTCAGTAATAGCTTACAAACCAATCACACAGTAGACCAAGAGAATTGCCCCCCCCACCCCAGCCCCGAGATAGTTAGATAAAACATCTATCAAATATTGCAGGAATTCTGGTTGGGGGGAACTTGCAGAGAAGTTCCAAGTATTTTAGAAATCCAGTTAACTTGTGCAGCCTCACAGACAGCTCCTCTTAGCGACAATAAAATACATAGCACTTCTCAGAAGAACCCAGCAGTCAAGGCATTGGAAAGTTTGCAGAAAGGAAAGACAATTTCTTCTTGTGAAACGTCAGGTTTGGTGTCACTACACTCTTGACCTGTATCTGATGGTTCAGAAATGTAATGCTTACTGGCGTGATCTGGATAATACTTCTCTACCGTCTCACAAGACGAAGACCCTGTTCCCTGTGATCTACCTCCCTCCTCAAGAGCTACTCCCTGGGAACAGCTGGAAGGGCTATGCCACAGACGCTGCAATCTCACTGCAATACCTGTTTCTTGCCTGCTTGCGTGTCACAGATGTGAATTAAATGGAGACTGCAAGAGCAATTTTTTCTCTTTGGTTATTAATGAATGACAGAAGCAAGATGTTCACAAACATCCCTCTCTTTGAATTCAAGAAAACATTAGATGAAGGAGTAAATTGGAGCAAATAATTTATTTACACCTGTTTCAAGAAGTTTACATTTGTAAACTGTTGATATGAAGCATAAAAGCTATACCTACAGTTTACCTAACTACTTCAGTTTAAGAGCTCAAGGTGCAAAGAAAAAAAAAGAACAGCATGCCTTACTGTCTGCATTTATTAACTTAAAATAAACAAAAATAACATTTACTCTGCATTTAATGATATCACATGAGATTAGAACTACTCGGAATGTGTTGAATTATTTTGATGAGTTATCAGCTGGCTCTGCTCAAGGGAGATTTCCCCAGGAGCATCCAAAGCTACTGCTTGTTGGTCTTTGACAAGTGCTTTGTAGTGGATTTTGACTCACCAGCAGGTGTTCCCCTTTAGGAACCGCTGGCATTTTTTGCTCTTTTTCTCTGAAATTGGGCCTTTTTCCTCCTAAGCCATCCCATTATTTCCCATTTATAATACATGGCAAGAGTTACTCCAAGCATACAGAGAAAAAGAAGACTAAATAGTTTTACTCCTATTTTTGCTCTCTGAAAAATCTCCCTGGCTGGAGGGGGTCCACTGTCAATGCTACCTCCAAATCCTTCCCGTTCACAATGCGGAGGAGCCCAGCCACGTCTGCAGTGACAGTTCTTACGATTGTTACACACTCCTCTGTCATAACACTTTGTAACATTACAGTCGTAGTTCAGCAGTGATATGCTGCTACATGTCCTGTTGATACAAAGCATATCACTACCACATGGCGTGCCATCTTCCACAGCCCCCACGTCAGCTATTGGCATCCCTACGTGATAGTCGAGACCCCAACACTTTTTACCTCCAACAGGGGTTTGGACTAGCGTTACGTGGTTCTGCAAGGCAGGCAATTTGTCTATGTTTTCACACTGGATCCTACCACATAAGATATTCTCAACACTGCATTTTATAAATTGGATATTGTTACGAATACCACAATTCCCAAACCGGTCACCTCGAGTATTCACTGCTTTGAAGCAATCTAAAGGAGCGGCCCTGGCTTGTTTGCCAAAGAGACGCTGGCACTGTTTGTTGTGGGAAGAACATTTTCCTCGATAGCAATAAGCACTGTCTTTGCAAGGGGTTCCATCTTGTACGTACACGTCTGGCGGGCACCCAGGGGAAGTCCCATTGCAATACTCTGGCAGGTCACAGTCGCCAGTACTTGCTCTGCAGAGCGTTCCTGCTGGAAGGACCCGACAGCTCTTACAGCATTTTCCAGAAGCACAGACCGAACCTGCAGTAAATGTACAGTTCGGGTGACAACAAGGATCCTTTCCGCAGTTTGATTCTGAACCACAGTCACATTGCTCTCTGCTTTCTACTATCTTATTCCCACAGTATTCACGCTTCATGGTGTAGAAAGTCCCGGGTGCTGGTGGTTGACGAATGCAGCTGGCGCCACGCCCAAGCAGGTCAAAGTAGTCTTTGTAACTGCAGTCACTGAACGCATCAGTTTCGACATCGCTTTCATACATAATGCATTTCTTCCGTCTGCATTTACAGCCCTGTTCATCATGGCGCATCCCCAGAGTATGGCCCAGCTCGTGGACAAATGTGGTAATAAATGAGGACAACTTCCTATCAGTGAAGGAAGCAACTGCTGATGACCACTGGTTATCACATATGGAGCCTAGAAACGCCAATCCCAGGCTCCTTCCAAAGCTCTGAAATGCAAATAGGTGAGCGGTATCATGGCGCATCCGCGGAGACAGGTCTGACTTCCGCCATTTGTTAAAGTCGTCAAGTACCTTGCCGACAGAGTTAGTAATGTTTATAAGGTTGCTTTTGGTCCAGATCTCCAATCCCACAAGAAACAGCCGAACAGAAAGCTGTTCGTACAGAGAGTCCCCAATGTTGATGATTTCTATGACTTGCCTCAAGACTTCGGATTCGTTCCTACCCGACTTCACAAACCGCACATTGTCCACGACCACTACTATCTTCACGTACCTGACGTGCGTCCACCAGTCCTTCAGCACCTCCTCCTCCTCCTCCTCCGCCGCCCAGGGGGCCTTGAGCCAGGGCAGCAAAGCCTTTTGGTGCTGCAGCTCCTCTGGGGTCAGCCCGCAGGTGGGACCCGCAGAGTCGTTGGCCTCCTCCATGCGGTAGAGGATGTGCCGGAAGGCCGGATCGTCGGGGATGGGCTCAATCTCGTAGGTGCCATCCTCCACCCAGAGTGCCCCCTGCCGCAGGTGCCGAGGGCCACCAGGGAGCCGGGGCTCCCCTGCACCTCGCCCTGGTAGAAGCAGTTGTCCTGCACGAAGGGGTGCTCCTCCCAGCGGGCCCCGTCCTTGCCGTAGGTGACCAAGAAGAAGGGGTGGGAGACCAGGCCCCGCCTGGGCCGCAGGCGCAGCA